GTAGGTAGGTAGGTAGGTAGGTAGGTAGGTAGGTATGTAGGTAGGTAGGTTAATAAAAGTAACACCCATACAGTTGTGGTATTCAAGATGATGTCCTTGTCATCTCTGTCATCCGGTACAACATCTTGTACTAAGCGAGGTAAGGTGGGAACAACAGGAGGTGGAGTTATCAACGCAGCCTTCTTTGCCTTGAAAAGAAAACTGTAAACAATAAGAACAATTACAGTTATGTATCTTTTAATATCACAGCTGCAGTCTGTCAAAACATCTCTCTCCGTTTTGTGTTTTTCCTGCGTACCCTTTCTTCTTGCTTTTCTCCGTGGAGGCATCCTTCTCATTCTCTCCATTTTTGATAGCAGAAGCCTCTTTAGACACCGAAGGTTCCTTCTTCTCCTCCTCCTGCTCTTTGCGAGTGGCTGACTTCTTGAGTATTTCAAAGTCCGAGTTGGGGTCCACCTCTAAAAGCTCGTCCTCAGGGATGGTCAGAGCCCGAGTCAGGAGCGTAGTCCCAGCTGGGAGCTTGAAGATTTCATGGAACTCAATAGGGATACTGAGCCGAAAGAACAGCAAATCTGTGTTGGCGTTCTGAGACCCAAAAGTCTTGTGGGTCACTTTAAGACAAGGAGGTGTGTCCACTGTCCCGTCAACACGTGATATCTAGATAATGAACAAATAAAAATCAAGTAGTGCTCTAGAAAGAAAACTAACAATCAGTATGCTGAGCTGATGTCCCCGGTCGCTAAAGGATTTGAATAGTGAATGTCTGTAAGTTTTAGATGATTTTTTCTGGACTGGAACTGAACAGAGAATGCCAGTAAATCTTAATATTTTTTGGTGCAAGACATTCAGGTGTGTAAGATTTAACACTGTGGAGAAGAGAGGGAGGTGTTTTTGTTTCTTAATTGAGGCAATGCGGAGTGACGGATCCTGATAAGTGAAGGGAGCAATTTTATCCACCACCAGGTGCAATGGAGGAACCAGGGGGTGAGAAGTGGTGGCCTTAGCCACCATATATTAATTTTTGGCCACCTCTATCATTAGATGAAATTATACTTTATGCTAGAAAGCATAATTTGCCCAAATGAGAGATACTATATATATATATATATATATACACAAACACACGCACACAGTATATGACGTGGCAATCCAATTTTTAAAAGAAACCTTTCTTATGCCTAGATGCAGTCACATACCAGAATGGAAGTTGGTACCTTACTTTTTTTTCCTAAAGTTATCATACTCATAATTTGCACAGATGGATGGAGTGTATTTCCAGTTCCTCCTTTTTGCTCTGCGACAGGGGACAAAAAGGCACTTCAAAGAGAAAACTGTACCAAGCGAAGCTAAGTACCTCAATATGAGGATCTAAAAAAGTTAAATCTGGTCCTCTGGACATTCAAAAAAACAAAAAAAAAACAAAGCCAAACAACAAAAAAAATGTAGAAACGTTTCGTCTCTCATCCGAGAGACCTCCTCAGTCTGAGGTGCTGTATTCAGCTCAGTCTCTTAAATAGCACCTTCTCAGAGTGGATCAACCAGTTTTGCTGCTGACAACCAAAACCAGCTGATCACATGCTCAAGAAGGACCATCAGCCTAACAATGGATCATTAGCACACTGATGGCTGTTTACTATTCACAGAGGGCTGAGTGATACTAGCAATCACAGCATTGTAAGAGGGGGACAATTGAACCTGCCTACATGCCTACCTCAATATGAGGATGATCCGTGGGCACCATGTTGAACTGAGGAAGGCTTTTACTGAACCACATGGTGATGTCTCTCTTCATGTTTATAGCAAACGGCTCAAATCCCTCCTGCAGGCCGCAGATGGTAAAGTAACGCAGACTGCTGACATTCTGACCCAGGTTGATTCTGCCAACCTGGGACAGACCCAGACTGCACACAGGTATGAAGCCTAGGAAAGTTTGAACCATGCATGAACACAACTGCATATCAAAAACTCAAATCTGGAAAAAATGCTCTAATTTAGAACAGCACATACCCTCTCCTATCTCAATGTCCTTGAAAGCCATTTCTGAGCCGGAGTCACTGATCAACATTTCTCCGTTGAGCGTGAACATGATGTTCATTTCTGTGAGGTCAATCATGCAACCCACCACGTCACCAGACTGCCACTGACGACCAAATGGCTCAGTTCCCACATGCCAACGTTGGGCCTTAAAAACACAATAATTTTTTTAGTTTATCATTACAGAGACTTTCATTTTTTTTCCCAAATAGTTGTCTTTCACCTTGAAACCATTGAAGACATATGCCAGCTCATCAGCGCCAAGCTCAGTGTCTGCACGAACATTGGGCCTGGCCCATCCCACTCTCATCTCTCCCACCGTCACGGCCTCAAACTCAAAGTACCACTTTCCCTGAGTAACAGCATAAGACTTCTCAGCTCTGAACACGCGGATTTTATTTTCACGAGAGTTGCCAGTTCCATGCCCACCTGCAAAAAACAAAACAAAAAATCTGTGAACATTTAAAAAGATGGGGTAGGCTTAGGCGTCTTATAAAAAGTTGTATGAATAAAAATGCTGTAAATGCTGTACAAACTTACTACTCTCTTGGTCAGGTGGCTCTATGTTGTAACCATATCCAATGAGAGTACGAACTGCTGCGCAAACCGTATCTCTGTTGGTCTTTTTAGTTTTTTCATCCAACAGATTGTAAGGAACCAATCGGGGATTGCGCTTGTTTAATATATCCTGTACAAATAAATTACACCAAACACACACAAAAAAAACCCCACACATAAATAGCCTGCAGCCAAGAAAACATCTTCATATTATGATTAGGTGTGGCATCACAGCATTAAACATGAAGAAAAGTGGTACCTGCACAATACTGTATGTCCAGCCCTGGCGAACCCGGTCTCTTGCCCACACATTGTGTCCATTTTCTGCCAGTCTCTCCACTAGAGTGTTCTGATTGGGAGTCAGCTTGACATGATTGAGGTCCAAAGGTGCTGGCTTGTATCCATTAGTCTGCATGTAACTAGTAGATACATTCTGCTATTTAAAGGTCATTACAGTGTACGACATAAAGAACAAGAGCATACACCCATCAACACACTATTATAAAGAAACCTCTATCAGTGGACCAGTTGTCTCCAAGCAATATGAAAACTGAGCTCTATTTTCTACTAAATCGATACTCAACAATGATACAAAAATCCCATTTGCAAGCTATTATTTTTGTGTTTAACTTTAGTTTTGTGGCCACAAACTTTCTTGGACTACTGACTTGACAAAGAAAATCTACTGAATGATTCAAACCTGAAAATACAAGGCAATACATGTTGTTCATGACATTTCATTCAGTGATAGCACTCAGCTGTATAGAGTTCAGTAAAATAAATCTGAAGGGTACAGAACGTGTGGTCTGAAATGCAAAAACATTTTGACCCTGGCTTTGGAACGAGGCCGATGAAGAGAGTTTGAGACTCCATCTAATGATGACACATATATGTATCAAGTTTTGCTAAATTATCTTGGATCAGAAGATGTGGCCTGGAAGAGCAAAGGCCTTCTTTGACAGTTGACCTTGCTTTGTGACCTTGACATTGAAGCTGTGGTGATGAAAAGTGTACGAAACATTCCGTCTAGTGATGATGCATCTGTGTATGAAGCTAAGTTAAATTCTAAAGTTAATTCTAAAGTTATGGGCGGGAAAAGCAAAGATCTTGCTATATTTGTGACCTTGACCTTGGAGCTGGGATGATAATGACATATGCAACACTTCATCTAGTGAGGGTGCATCTGTGTATGAACTTTCATTAAATTGTCTTCAATCAAAAATTATGGGCGGGACAAGGAAAAGTTTAAGGATTTGTTTAAAATCAACCTCACAAAGTGAGTGAAAATGTTGCATCTCACGTTTTAGGGAGTTTGGTCCTTTTCAGATTTTCCTCTGCTTTCTCATCTCCCATTCCAACATGACAGCCAAGAGCCAGCAGAGTCCTTTGAATGAGACACAAACAACAGAATAAAAACAAATTCTATAAACGTAAAGCTGATGATCGAGTGAAGACCGACGTACTTCAGCGTCTCTCCTGACATCGCTAAGTTGTAGTTCTTCTCAGGCTCGGGCAAACTCTGGAAATCCACTAGGCAGGGGTGCATCTTCTTGTTGTCATCACGAAACTTTTACGAAACAAAGCGCAAACATTTTGTTACATAAACTGTTAGTGCACACGCCTATATTTTTGATTTTTTTTTTATGCAGCTGCTAAAAGCACCCACTGCGCCGTATGTCCACCCTTGTTCAATGCGGGTAACGGCCCACAACTCATGACTGTTTTCTGCAAGTTTCTCTCGAACTCGCTCCAAATGAGGAGGAAGAACAATCTGAAATAGTGAATAAAATCAAATAAGTCCTTAAGATGAAAGTTGTTTTAAAAACTTTAAGTGTTGTTATAGTTCTGGCCTCTTCAAAGCAGCTGGGACAGGATTTTACCTGTATGGTGTCCACAGGGCATGGAGTAAATGCTGTATGTGAAAGGGACTGGGTTGGACCCAGCAGATTGCGGACCTCGTTAAGATCGTGTTTATACTCTTTGATGAACTCGATCCTTAGGCGGTCCCTGGGCAGCACTGCCTCGTAGCATGGAGCATAACCAGGAGGAGGAAGAAACTTGAAATCACCGTGACGGCCTCCAAGAAGAAATCTCAGCCTTGAATTTACAACAGAAAGTCCAATTCATTAGATTTATTCAAGCTTAAACCATAGCTTGGTATAAAATATTATTCAAAGGAATGGCTCAGATCTTTTGAAGGGAGGTTCTGTGGAAAAGTTAGGAACATGTAATGTCCTTCTTATAATAGCTCTTTGAATAAACTCAGTTTGCATCTGATCAGGTTGATGAGATAAACAGCAGGTACAAGCAGGACTAGACCAAAGCTGCCATTTTAAAACAACTCCAGTCTCCTAAATGTTCAGACAGATGCTGCTTTATAAACCTTTACACTGCTGCCAGCTTCACACTGCATGAATATTCCTGAAATATTATGATGGTCCAGCTGGAAGTGCCCCCGGCTGCATCAAAGTGCTAAAGCTGCCTGCACAAAACCAAAAATTTGAATGTTAAAAAGCGGACCGCGGATGTCCCCCATCACTGAGTGATTCGAATGTTTGTAATTTTTGAGATGTGTTTTTCTGGACTGGAATTGAACAGTGAATACAGGTAAACCTGAATATATTTGGCACAAGCTATTTAAGTGGATAGGAGTTACTACGGTGGCCCTGAAGTTTAAACCAGAACTACAAATAAAAATACACAACATTTGAAAAAAATGAAATTACATGTGAAGAAACGCAATTACATTAAGCGAAACCGGAAGAGGTGGAAAAAGTGGGAGGTTCAATGCCCTGTTGTCCAATCAATGATGTCTCATGCTTCTCCACTGATCCCACCTCTTCCGGTTTCGCTTAATGTAATTGTGTTTTTTCAAATGCACTCGTTTCAAATTGCGTAAAAGCTCTGCAGAGAGTGGTAAAGGCTGCACAGAATATTGTTGGAGTCAGCCTCCCCACCATCATAAACATCTACACCTCCAGATGCAGGAAGAGAGCCACCTGCATCATGAAGGACCCCACTCACCCAGCACACACACTTTTTGCCCCAATCCCCTCAGGCAGTATTCATTCATACCCATCTGCTCACCACAGACTCATATTCAGGCTGTTTTTTAGATCTTTTAGTGTGCCGTTTGGAATTCGTTTAGTGTATATCTTAGATCCTTATTTATTGTTTCTTTTTACACTTTATATTTTTGCTATTTTTGGATGTAACTGGGACCCTGTGTACATAATTTTGTTCCACCTCATGTACCACATGTGATGTGAATGACAATAAACTTGAAC